TTACACATATTCCATATTTCTGACAAGCAAAATCATTCTTGCCTAATCGTTAACCGTGATTGAAACCACCGAATTATATTCTTTTTTGCAGATGGCACATTTATTTCTTAGAAAAGATTTATTATAAATTTGTTTCAATTAATTATTTATATATGAGAAATACCGTTGGATTCAAGTGTATACGCTTTCGATATATTGAAACGTGTTTTTGATAGTCTTACACATATGTGAACGTCAGAAGCTTGACGCGTCGGTTTTGTTTAATATATATGTTTGGGTTGGTAAGAGTGATCATTTTGCAGTCATACGAATACGGAATCAGAAGGCGTCGATGAGGTGAACGTGTTGATCGACTCGTTCAGTGGACGAACGATTCGAGTGCGTGTCTCGAAGAAGGAAGGAAAACAAGATGAGAACCTTCTGTCGGAGGGTAAACAGACAGACGACGATGTGGATGAAGAGTCGCAATCGATTTGGAGCAGCATTTCTTCGTTCGTCTTTAACGAGCACAGTTATTTGCATGCGCACTTCCCTCAAATTTAGCTAGAATTTGATGGAAAATTTTCAGTTGATAGGAAATAACTGAACTGTCAAGAAGAATTTTTTCGGGAAGTTGATAAAGACGTGATATGATTACGAATTAAAAATATTATTGAATTTTGGGAAGATTTTGATTGATGCTTTCGAATGCACTGATTTTCAAATGAAGAGATGTTTTAGGAAATTGAGTGGTGGTGAGAAATACGAAACAATTAATATATTCTCGTTGGCATCGGGTCATCTCTACGAGCGTTTCATTCGCATAATGATGCTGAGCGTTATGAAGCACACCAAACATCCAGTCAAATTTTGGTTGCTCAAAAATTACCTCTCACCGCACTTCAAGGTGTCCTCATTCATCTATCTCTATCATTGTTACTCTCGAATTCTGATAGAATCAGTTCGGATTATTTCCATTGTGAATTCCGAACGGCTTGAAGAAATTTCTCTAATTGTTGAAAATTCCTGTTAGACGATGAATTCACAATGTGTCATTCTGGAGATTTAAAAGTATGGGCAGAATATTGAAAAAATATGAGCAGAAACTCAAAATTTGAGATTGAAAAAGGATAAAATAGATAANCTCAAAAATTACCTCTCACCGCACTTCAAGGTGTCCTCATTCATCTATCTCTATCGTTGTTACTCTCGAATTCTGATAGAATCAATTCGGATTATTTCCATCGTGAATTCCGAACGGCTTGAAGAAATTGCTCTAATTGTGGAAAATTACTGTTAAACGTTGAATTCACAATATGTCATTCTAGAGATTAAAAAGTATGGGCAGGAGGTTGAAAAAATATGAGTAGAAACTCGAAATTGAGATTTTGAAAAAATAAAATAGGTAAAAATATGAACAGATGGTAAAATATGGAGATAAAGATGAGCAGAGG